CTGAGGAGTGTTCGAAAACCCCTTCAAGGGGGACGTTAGAAAATAGCGCCGAACTGGTTTACGTACCCGAAATCGGCGCTTTCCGTCGTCGCCCCCACGGTTTTAAAAGCTAGGTTTAAGCGGTCGAAAAACTTCGCTTGCAAATAGGCTCCGATTACCAAGTGTGAGGATCTAGGATCGAGCTCAGAAAAGAGAATGTGAATTGAATGAATCACCTGGGTACAACACGAGGCTATATATAGGCTCGACACAAGGCCCCGTAACCAGGTGTTACGCGAAGGTTCCGCGGGCCGCGTAGCGTCCCAAACAGATCCTTACCGAATTCGGTAGAAGGCAATTCGGTGGCAACCGAAAAGCCAGAATTCGGTGCACGCAACCTAGACTATAATAAAATATAGGAAAGCACCTAGCCTAGGAAATTAAGCAATTCATGCATGCATATAATCATCCTATGCTAGAAATAGCATGATAAAGTAAAGGCAAGCAAGCATAGCTGGCATAAGCCGTCGTACTCTCACATCCCCACCCTGCGCTCCTACAGGGAGGCGATTTCGGGTGAGTACTCCTCTCAGTGGCAGACAGCCATGGACGCAGAGATGGCATCCTGGAAGTCCACAGGCACCTACGTCGACGAGGTTCCCCCACCTGGGGCGAACATCGTCATTGGCATGTGGATTTTCAGGGTGAAGCGGCCGCCAGGTTCTCCGCTTGCCTTCAAGGCACGTTACGTTGCTCGAGGCTTCAGTCAGCGTGAGGGGGTCGACTTCTTTCAGACCTTCTCCCCCACCCCTAAGATGACCACTCTTCGAGTGTTGCTACACGTTGCAGCTCAGCGTGACTACGAGCTGCACTCCCTCGACTTATCGACAGCTTTCTTGCAGGGTAGCCTTCACGAGGCCATCTGGTTGCGCCGTCTGAAGGGCTTCACTGGGTCGTTTCCTGAGGGTATCAAGTGGAGCCTACGACAACCAGTGTACAGCCTGCGTCAGGCGCCCCGCGAGTGGCACGACACACTGAGAAGGACACTTGCGGCTCTTGGGTTTGCTCCTTCTACTGCCGACCCGTCGCTGTTTCTACGCACCGACACACTCTGCCGCCGTTCTACATCCTCGTGTACGTCAACAACTTGGTTTTTGCTACTGCTGACACTGAGGCACTGGCCCTAGTGAAGTTAGAGCTGCAAGAGAGACACACCTGCACTGACCTGGGTGAGCTGCGAAACTATCTTGGCTTGCAGATCACCCGGGACAGAGCACGGCGCACCATCGCCCTGACTCAGTTATACATGGTGCACCAGGTCCTTCAGCGCTTCCGCTTCACGTACTCCTCGCCACAACCCACTCCTCTGGCTACCGGCCACTCGCTCTCAGCTCCACCTTTGGACGAGTCTGTAGAGCCGAGTGGTCCGTACCCAGAGCTTGTGGGTTGCCTCATGTACCTGATGACGTGCTCGCGACCTGACCTCGCGTACCCTCTCAGCCTCTTGGCTCGCTACGTGGCACGTGGTCGACACCGAAAGGTGCACTTTGATGCTGCGAAGAGGGTGTTGCGCTACTTGTGCAGCACATTGGGCATGGGGCTCGTGCTTGGAGGACGGGGTTCAGTGGTCCTCACAGGTCACTCTAACGCCTCTTGGACCGACGACCGGGCGACTCAGCGTTCGTCACAGGGCTACACCTTCAGTCTTGGCGCTGGTTCTATCTTGTGGAGGTCCACTCGTTCTTCTTCTGTGCTTGGTTCCAGCTGTGAGGCCAAGATCTACGCTTGGGCCATGGCTGCACAGGAGCTCCGCTGGCTGACCTACCTGCTGATCGACTTGGGGGAGTGGCCTCATTCTCCTCCAGTTCTGTACGTCGACAACAAGGCAGTGCTTGCCTTGTGTCGCGAGCAGAGACTGGAGCACCGAACGAAGCACATTTCTCTTCGCTACTTCCTTGCGCGTGAGCTGCAGCAGCGTGGTCAGCTGCGCCTTGCTTTTGTGGCCTCTCGGGCCAACACTGCTGATGTCTTCACCAAGGCCTTTGGGGCTGGTGATCATCAGCGTTTCTTCACTGCTCTTGGGCTGGTGCCTACTCTGCCTCACGTGCTGGTTGCTTGACTTGCTCTTGTTGTACACTGATATATATCTTTATACATGCATGTTTACTCTTGGTAGGTTGTGATCAATGTATTGCCTTGCTATTATAACTGTGGATATGAAATGGCCTCGTGGCTGCTTGCTTGTGCTCAGACTGTGTGGTGTCATTGAGATCCACCCTGAGCTTTGCTTTGCTTTGCTTGTTCTCTTGCTTGACTGGTCTTGTGACCGTCTGTTTTGTTTGCTATCTCCCGTTTAGCCTATGGGGGTGTGTCAAACTGTATGTTTGTCTTGTTTCTAGGCTATGGTGGGTTAGCCTACAAGGGGTACAACACTTTAGGGTTAGGTACTTGTACTCATGCATGCTACCTAGTCTACCATTCCTGCCTGCGTATTCTAGCACTGACTTGCCAGTGCCCCAATAAAATATTCTGCATAGAAAATGTCAGAATATTGTGACCATGCTGGAAAATGAGGGGATATTTCAGGTCCAACTGTCTCTTTAACCGCTTAGAATATACTAGAACCTGTATGTGCATTGTTGACTACAGCAGTAATTTGCTAAATGTTTTGTGCTAACGAGATGTTTTTTTTCGTGTGTTTCACAAATCAGCAAATCTATCTAAAGCGTACTCGTTGGTGGTGCACCACAAGCTTCAACTGCGCCACCAAAGCAGTCCCCTGGATTGCTACCCCCCATTGCTTCCCCTGCTTCGTAGCTTTCCCTCTCCCGCAACACATTCCCCCTCCCCCGACAGCTGTCTCCACATTCCCCCTCCCGCAACACATTCCCCCATTCCTCCCCGCAACCCATTCCCCCTCTCCCGACAGCTGTCCCCCCTTTCCCCAGTGCCACTGCTCGCCCGACTGGAACCCTCATATTCTACTATGGATGCTCTTTTTCATTCTCCGAGTCACAGCAACCTGCAACCATGAGAGATAAGGTATAGTCACCTTTTCCCAGCCATCCCTAAGTTCCCTCAGCGCATTTACCAATGGCGATTTAGGCTATGTTTTTTATAGCTCGTTTTTCTACCTTCATCCTCGGTCCGTGTGATCCATCTTTTCGGTTCGACCGTTGCCGAATTTCCAACTAGTTCGTCGATACTGATTTCCGTGTTACTACTTGTGCTTGCAGTGGAAGAAAAAGCGTATGCGGCGGTTGAAGCGCAAAAGAAGAAAGATGAGACAGAGATCCAAGTAAGCGTGACATGCGCCGAGGATTCTCACCTGTGCTTTCACGCGGGAGCAGGACTCCGAAGTTTCGTGAGGATCTGATTGAGGTGCACTGCGAATGTCCTGCAAAGTCTGGCGACAACTGAGCCGAGTGCAAGATTCGGGGCTAGACCTGATGCGTTGGTTGTAGCATGATGCTTCTGCTCCATCCATCTGTTAGCGTCTGCCTGATTTGCGAGCTTAGCCGCGTGGATGCTTCTTGCTGGCTCCATTGTTTTCAAACTCGTAATGTGAAGTTCAAAATTCTGGAGTAACCGCCTCACGATCCCGTTTTGCCGTTCCTTTTGCGTTTCGCTTGTCACTCTGCTTCTCCTTGGCTGTCCCGGTGACGATTCCATTTGTTACACACTCTGAATGGATTCTGGACTTCGCTCCCTTATCCAGTGTGGTCAATATCCACCAACGCTGAGGGCCGGTCTCTCGTCTACCGCGTACATTTTCTTTTGCTTCTCCCTTGCTTGGTCTGCAAATTCTTTGGTCAAGCTTCATGATCATACCGTTTTTTCTCGCTCATTCCATTACTGGCCCAGTGACGATCACATTTGTTACACACTCTGAAAGGCTCTGGACTTCGGTCCTATGTCATGTGTGGAAAATATCCACCAACGCTGAGGGCTTGTTTATATCATCCTCTTGTCCTTAAAAATCGTTGTTTTAGAGTTCCGTTTTCGTACATAGAAGTCTTACATAGAGGCAGAGTCTGTTTGACTGGGTGGCAATTCAGGCAACCAACCATGACTATCACTGCATGGATTCGGTGTTCAGCCGCCCAAACATCAATTTCTTCTGTACTCGTACCCTCTTGTGGGGCAGCCAGTGCACTATGGCTGGTTGAAGGGTTCAGTGGATAACAATTCGGTTCTATTACTGCAGATGTGAACAAATGGCTGTCAGCTCATAACTTCTTGGTTAGTGAAAGGAGTTTTCATGTGAAAGGTTATGTTTTCATCTTTTACTGCCTGAAGTTATCAAGGGTAATAATTGTATGCCTGCACATCACCATTGAATCCAGCTGCTTTTATCATCCATATGTTACCAGTCTGTTGATTGACATGAGATGAATGATGCTAAGTGTCAAAACATATGCATATGATTATCTAGGCTATTTTGGGGAGAGCCTTAGGGGGTATAGAAACTTTCTCGACACTCTAGTCTTATACCCCCAACCTATCTAATCTCACCAGTCTTAGTTTCTAACATGGTAACTAGAGCAGGAAGTCCCTAGGACCTAAGAATCGGGTCCACCTAACTGCCAGCCTTGCCTGCTGCCCGTGCGCGCCTCGGCTGCAGTGCGCGTCACTTTTCTTTTTCGCGCGCGCCTCGATTGCTAGCGCGCGCATCACGGTTTTTAGCGCGCGCCACTGTTGTAGCGCCGCGCGCCGGCCCGCGTCGCTCGCGCAGCCCGCGTAGAGCCCGCACAGCCCGCCGTCGCCCCGCGTGCCGCGTCTATTGCCAGCGCAGCCCGCCACTGCGCCGCGCGCCGCGTCGACCGCCTGCGCGGCCCACTGCTGCTTAGCGCGCTACTTAAGGAGGTCGCGTGCGGCCGCTCCTGCTTGCTGCCTGCTGTCTCCTGTCTGCTGCTTGTTGTCTCCTGCCTGTTGCCTGCTGCCTCTGTCTTTGCTTGTGGCCTGGTGCTTGCTGCCTCTTGTCTGCTGCCTGCTGCCTCCTGCCTCTGCCTGCTGCCATTATGACGACGCCTAACGTTCTCGCGTTCGAGCCTGACGGTCGCCCCATAGAGTTCGCTGTGTGGTTAGATGATCTCCAACTATTCCTTCTGACCGATGCCAAAGAGGGCGTTTCATTGTTCGATTACGTGTCTGGCACTGCCGTTGCTCCTGCTGCCGATGCTCTTGCTCTCGAACGCTCGTAGTGGCAGACTCGCGATGCTGCTGCACGCCTAGCTATTAGGAACCATCTGCCGATTACTGAGCACGCGCATTTCAGCTAGCACAAAACTGCTAAGACGCTGTAGTTGCGCGCTACTCCTCCCCGGCCACTGCAGCCATAGGTCGGCTCATGCTACCCTACCTGTTCCCCGACCTTTCCACGTTCACCACTGCTGAGGACCTCATTTCCCACCTGCGTGCTACTGACACTCGCTTTCGTGCCGCCCTTTCAGCCGAGTTCTGCGTCGCAAACCCTCCCCCGATGTACTTCACTCTCTATTTCCTCGTCACCCGCCTCATTGACACTCCTAGCTCTGTCAGGGACCACTTCCTCGCGCTAGACCCCCCCACTCTCACTGTCGACGACTTCGAGAAGCACCTCCTCGCAACAGAGAAGAACATCCTCGCTGTAGGTGCTGCTCGTGGCACTCCTCGCTCTCCCCTCTTTGAGGGGTGCTCCCCCTCCCCTCTCACCCCCTCCTACGCCTCCGCAGCTGTTGCTCACGACTACCTTGGTGCTGAGGAGGTCGGGGCTGCTTCCGCTCCTAGTGGGAAGCGTCGCAGCGGCAGGGGCGGCAAGGGTGGCAGGGGAGGTGGGGGTGGCGGTGGAGGTGGCGGTGGTGCAGGCGGCGGGGGAGGTGGAGGTGGTGGGGGTGGTCGTGGGGGTGGAGGCGGTGGAGGTGGTGGTGGGGGCGGCGGAGGCACTGGGAGCGGTGGAGGGGGCAGCAGCGGCGGTGGGGGAGGAGGTAGCGGTGGTGGCAGTGGTGGTTAGGGCCAGCAGCAACCGCAGCATCAGCAGCAGCAGCATCAGCGCCAGACCCCCACTTCCCAGCAGCTTCTTGACTGGTATGCCGGGCGTGGGGCTTCTGGGGGTCCTGGTCGCTGCCCCTATATCATTCGCACAGGTCCCCGCACTGGTCGCCAGTGCACAGGGTTTCACACTGAGCAGCGCTGCTTCGCTCGGCTTAGCGACGCCTGGCGCGCCAAGTTTCTTGATGCTACTGAGTTCCCCAACTAGGCAAACCTGCTTAGGCGTGATGTTCCTATCTTTGATCTTGACTATGAGGCAATTCTTGCTGCTATGTATGCATTGAGTGTTAGTGCTGAGGGTGACTGCTACTTGTGTGTGCCGCCGAATCCTGGTATAGCCCCTGGTATAGCCCTTGCAGCACTAGGTGCTTGTGAGTCTGCTCCCCTTGGTACTGCGCCTGCACATGCCTTGCACACCTTTACACTTGACTCTAGTGCTTCCCGCTGTTTCTTTCGCGACAATACCACAGTCACTCCCCTCCCTGCACCTGTTCCTATCTCACTGGCTGACCCCTCTAGGGGCCCAATGCTTGCACGGTCTTCCACTGTGCTTCCGTGTCCGGTGGTCCCGTCTAGTGAGCTGTCTGGTCTCCACCTCCCCTCGTTCTCTACGAACTTGGTGAGTAATGCTGTCCTCCAGGATGCGAGGGTTGACACCTTCACCCCTGGCCGGCAGCGTGTGGCGATTCGCACGTGCTCCCTGGCTGGCCGTCACCTGGCCACGTTTACTCGTGCACCAGGGTCCAGTCTGTACACCCTCACCACTACGTCACGCTCCGCCCCTTTGTCTCCCCAGTTACACGCGTCTGCTCAGGTAGCTACACAGTGTGAGTGTCGTTGGATGTCGCACGACACTCTCCTGTGGCACCACCGCCTTGGTCACCCCTCCCTGCCTCGCCTGCGTAGCATGCACTCTCGTTTCCTGGTCTCTGGTCTTCCCAGGTCTCTGCCTGCCCTCCCTCCCTTGCCTGCGCTGCCCTGCATTCCTTGCATCAAGGGGCGGCAGCGCGCCGCTCCTCACTCCTCCTCGTTCCCTCCCACAGAGGCTCCACTGCAGACTCTCCACCTGAACGTGTGGGGCCCAGCCCGCATCCGTGGACAGGGCCACGAGCGGTACTTCCTGCTGGTTGTCGACGACTACACGCGTTACACCACGGTCTTCCCCTTGCAGCGCAAGGGGGATGTCCCTGATATTTTGATCCCCTGGATCCGCGCTGCTCGTCTCCAGCTCGCCGAGCGGTTCCAGTCGGACTTTCCAGTCCTGCGTCTGCACTCTGTCAGAGGTGGTGAGTTCTCCTCAGACCTCTTGGCGGCCTTCTGTGCGGAGCACGGCATACGCCAGACGTTCACGCTTCCGGCCTCTCCGCAGCAGAATGGGGTTGCTGAGCACCGCATTGGCTTAGTCATGGAGGTCGCTCGTACCTCCATGATCCATGCGGCTGCCCCCCATTTTCTGTGGCCGTTTGCGGTCCGGTACGCGGCGCATCAGCTCAACCTTTGGCCCCGTGTCTCCTTGCCGGAGACCTCGCCCACACTGCTGTGGACGGGGAAGGTTGGCAACGCATCGCGTTTCCGGGTCTGGGGTGCTCGTGCCTTTGTCCGCAATACCACTGCGGACAAACTCTCATCTCGCGCCATTCCTTGCGTCTTCCTTGGCTTTGTCCCTGACGCGCCTAGGTGGCAGTTTTACGACCCCGCCTCGCGCCGTGTCTTTGCGTCTCAGGACGTCACCTTTGACGAGTCAGTCCCCTTTTACCGCCTCTTCCCCTACCGCTCTGCTCCTCACCCCCTCCCGCCGCTCTTTCTCGCCCCAGGTCCTCCCCAGGTAGACCCCCTCCTTGCGCCAGGCCCTGCTCCTTCAGGTGTTTCTGAGGTAGACCCTCCCGTCCCTACGCCTGTCGAGGTCACTGGTGACTCCGGTTCTGCTGGGAGTGGTGCTGTCCCTGGGGGTGCGGAGCTTGGGGGTGCGCAGCGTGGGGGTGCTGAGTCTGGGGATGCTGAGCGTGAGGAGCCTGTGGGTGCGGAGCCTGGAGGTGCTGAGCCTGCGCGTGAGGGGCGTGGAGGTCCTGAGCCTGGGGGTGCTGCGTCTGGGGGTGTTGCGCCTGGGGGTGCTGCACCTGAAGGTGCTGCGCCTCCGTCTGCGAAGCGTGGGGGTGCTGAGTCTGGGGGTGAGTCGCCTGAGGGTTCTGAGACTGCTGTTACGCGGTCTCCTTGGAGTAGCCGTCTTCGTCCGCGTGTGCCTCTCACCTCCCAGCAGCTGCATGACTGGTACGGTCGCCGTCAGCGTCGCGCTTCTGCACCTCAGGGCTCTACTGCTGGGGGTTCTTCTGCTGGCGTCACTGGAGCTGGGAGTGGTGCTGGTCCTTTGCCTGTTGGAGGTGCTGGTGTCGCTGGTCCCGGAGGTGCTCGTACTGGGGGTACTGGAGCTGCTGGGGCTAGCGGTGGTGTGTCTCAGGGTACTGCTGCTGGTGGCACTGCGGTTGGAGACCCTGGGACAGGAGGTGCTGGTTTTGGGGGTGCTGCACCAGGAGGGGCTGGGCGTGCTAAGGGTGCTGGAGCTGCTGGAGGTACTGGAGCTGCTGAGGGTACTGGAGCTGCTGGAGGTGTTGGAGCTGCTGAGGGCGCTGGAGCTGCTGGAAGTACTGGAGCTGCTGAGGGTACTGGACCTGCTAGAAGTGCTGGAGCTGCAGAGGGTGCTGGAGCTGCTGGAGGTGCTGGAGCTACTGAGGGTGCTCGAGCTGCTGGTGCTGGTGGCACTGCACAGCCACGCCTGTTCTTTGCTCCACCGTCTCCGTCGTCTCTGCCACCACCTGACTCCGTACTTCGCCAGGTTCTTAGCCTCCCGTCGTCTACTGGTCTTCCGTTACAGCCTGGCTCACCTCTGCCTGCTCCTTCTCCTTACGCTGAGCAGACAGGGGGCCTTACTGAGCGTCGTGAGCCTGCGTCGCGTCTTGTCTCACATGTCCGTTCTGGTCGTTCCAGTCGTCGTGTTCCTCGTCAGCGTCAGCCGGCTGTCCCCGGCCCTTCCCTTGTAGTCCGTCGTCCTTCCTCTCCTCCGCAGAGTGTTCCTCTGCCGTCTCATCTTGCGTCTTCTCTGCCTGTCGTTGCGGACCCTGAGTCTGACTAGTTTCGTGCTGAGCACCCTACTGTCACGCGGCTGCTAGCCACTGTTGTCACTGACCCGTCGTTTGAGTCCACTGCTGCGTCTGCCCTAATCGCTGAGCTTGTCGACTTTGCTGCTGCATGTCGTCTAGACTACGCTGCTAGTCTTGTTGCTGAGTCTGAGTCTGTCTGACCTCCGTCCGTCGGGGGTGAGTGTGCTCTTAGCACGGACGTCCTTGAGGATAGGCACGAGGACCTTGAGTGTCTTGCGGCCGCTGCGCCTCATCTCGTGGCCATGCTGCTTGCCCCTGAGGGAGACCCGGATGCACCAGACATCCCCACCCCGCGCTCTTACACTGAGGCGATCGCGGGTGAGTACTCCTCTCAGTGGCGGACAGCCATGGACGCAGAGATGGCATCCTGGAAGTCCACAAGCACGTACGTCGACGAGGTTCCCCCTCGTGGGGCGAACATCGTCAATGGCATGTGGATTTTCAGGGTGAAGCGGCCGACAGGTTCTCCGCCTCTCTTCAAGGCTCGTTACGTTGCTCGAGGTTTCAGTCAGCGAGAGGGAGTTGACTCCTTCCAAAATTTCTCCCCCACCCCGAAGATGACCACTCTTTGGGTACTGCTGCACGTTGCCGCTCAGCGTGACTACGAGCTTCACTCTCTTGACTTCAGCACAGCTTTCTTATTGGGCAGCCTGCACGAGGAGATCTGGCTGCGTCGCCCACCCGGTTTCACTGGGTCGTTCCCTCCTGGTACCCAGTGGAGCCTCCGGCGGCCGGTCTACGGTCTTTGCCAGGTGCCACGTGAGTGGCACGACACACTGAGGATGACACTTGCGGCTCTTATGTTTGCTCCTTCGACTGCTGACCCGTCGCTGTTTCCGCGCACCGACACTTTGCAGCCGCCGTTCTACATCCTCGTGTACGTCGACGACTTGGTCTTTGCCACTGCTGACACGGAGGCTCTCACCCTGGTGAAGTCGGAGCTACAGAAGAGACACACGTGCACGGACCTGGGTGAGCTGCGCAGCTACCTTGGCTTGCAGATCACCTGGGACAGAGCACGCCGCACCATCACACTGACTCAGTCACACATGGTGCAGCAGGTCCTTCAGCGCTTCGGCTTCACCTAGTCCTCAACAAAGCACACTCCTCTGGCTACAGGTCACTTGCTCTCAGCTCCACCTTCGGACGAGTCCGTAGAGCTGAGTGGTCCTTACCCAGAGCTAGTGGGCTGCCTCATGTACCTGATGACCTGCACTCGTCCTGACCTTGCGCACCCTCTTGGCCTTCTGGCTCGCTACGTGGCTCCTGGTTGGCACCGAAAGGTGCACATGGATGCTCCTAAGAGGGTACTACGCTACTTGTGCAGTACATCGGGCATGGGGCTCATGCTTGGAGGGCGCAGCCCAGGTGTCCTCAGTGGGCACTCGGATGCTTCTTGGGTTGACGACCAGGCTACACAGCGGTCGTCACAGGGTTACACGTTCAGCCTTGGCTCCGGCTCTGTTTCTTGGCGGTCTACACGCTCGTCTTCTGTTCTTAGCTCCAGCTGTGAGGCTGAGATCTACGCCACAGCCATGGCTGCACAGGAGTTACGCTGGCTCACCTACTTGCTGACCGAGCTGGGAGAACGGCCTCGTTCTTCTCTTGTTCTGTACGTAGAGAACAAGGCCGACATTGCCTTGTGTCAGGAGCACAGACTGGAGCACAGGACGAAGCACATCACTCTGCGTTACTTCTTGGCTCGAGTGTTGCAGCAGCGGAGTCAGCTTCGCCTTGCTGACGTGGCCACTCGGGCCAACACTGCTGACATATTCACCAAAGCACTTCCGTCTGGTGACCATGAGCGCTTTTGTACTTTGTTGGGCCTTGTGCCTACGTTTCCAAACTTGCTGTAGTCTCTGCTTGTACTGTGATATATATATATATATATATATATATACATATATACCTGCGTGCTTTCTCTTTCTAGGTAGAGATCACTGTGTTTTTCTTGTTGTTTATATACGTGTGCATGTGGACTGGCCTTGTGGCCGTTTGCTTGTGCTCAGTGTGTGTGGTGACGTTGTGATCCACCCTGAGCTGTGTTTTGTTTCTTCTCTTGACTGGTCTTGTGACCGTTGCTTGCTCTGGCTATCCCCCATTTCGCCTTTGGGGGTGTGTCAAAACGTATACATATGATTGTCTAGGCTATATTGGGGATAGCCTTAGGGGGTACAGAAACTTTCTCGACACTCTAGTCTTGTACCCCCAACCTTGACCTAATCTCACCATTCTTCCCTAGTCTTAGTTCTTAACACAAAGCCATGTGTAGCCCCAGCATGGTGCTATATTGTGGCACATTACCACTATTACAGCTGTCTAGTATCAGACTAATGTAGCAAGAAGTAAAAATCTTACGTAGTAACCATGCACCATAGATGGCCCAGGTAAAGCTCAAGTCGTGCAAAGGAATTTAACTGTTTTGGACATAAATGGTGCATAATGAAACACTTGCATTGAGTCCAATTCCATATGAAACATAATTGTGTTTATGTTCAGTTTCCAACTCCAGCTCAATTTCATATGTTTGAGGATGCAAAATATCAATTTTCAACAAGGGATGGTGATGATAAGAATTTAAGACAAGCACAACGCATTGAAGCACTCACGTATCAACTGATGGTTACATTCGAACTTGCAAAACATGGAACAAAAAAGACAATCAAATGAAAATAACATTGGGAACCTCTCTCAGAAATAGAATGCAATGGAATGATGAGATTAGAATGTGGGTGATACAAATAGCAAACCCTAATTGAGTTGTACTCACTAAGGAGCACCTCACTTTAGCCTATCACAACTATCAACATTTGACACACCCCCATAGGCTAAGTGAGGGGCATCAAAGCAAGCAGGGTGAACAAACGGTCACAAGACCAGTGAATGCAAGAAGCAAAGCAAGCTCAGGGTGGATCTCAAGGACACCACACAAATTCCGAGCACAAGCAAGTGGCCACAAGGCCAGTTCAAGAGTTCACTAGGATATATAATAGCAAAGCACAACAAGTAGAGCAAGCAACAAGGCTACAGCAACCGAGGACAACCCTCAACAAGCCCTAACTGTACACAGAACCGGTGGTGATCACCAGGTGCCAATGCCTTGGTGAAGAGGTCAGCAGTGTTGGCCTCCGAGGCCACAAAGTCCAGGCGCACCTGGCCGCGTCGCTGTAGCTCACGCAGGAGGAAGTACCGGACGTCGATGTGCTTCACCCTGGTCTCCAGTCAAAGCTTGTGACACAAGAGAATCATGACCTTGTTGTCAGCGAACAAGGTCGGAGTGGTGCGAGGTCGCTCACCAAGGTCAGCAAGCAAGAAGGTCAACCAGCGAAGCTCCTGAGCAGCCATAGCACCGGCGTATATCTCTGCCTCTGCACTGGACGAAGCCACCGACGACGACCGTGTGGACCTCCACGACACAGCCTCAGCTCCCAGATTGAAATAGTTACCCTGGGTCGAGCGCTGAGTCTCCACGTCGTCAGCGTAAGAAGAGTCACAGAGGCCAGTCAGCTCAACTGGCCAAGCACAAGCCCCATGCCTGATGTAGTCGCCAGGTACTTCGCCACCCTCACGGCAGCCGTCCAGTGAACAGGACGGTGCCTCCCAGGTCCAACAAAGCGAGAGATGACACTAAGAGGGTAGGCGAGGTCCGGGCGAGTACAGGTTATCAGGTACATGAGGCAGACAACAAGCTCTGGGTAGGGACCACTGGGCTCAAAGGGCTCGTCGGGGAAGGGGCCGGTGAGTCTGTGGTTTACAGCAAGAGGAGCTGGCTGTGTGGTGGAGTGCTGAAGCCCGAACCGCTGAAGAACCTGCTGCACCATGTGTGACTGCGTCAACGTGAGGTGCGAGCGGCTCTGTCCCTGGTGATATGCAGGCCAAGGTAGCGCTGCATTTCACCAAGGTCAGCGCACGTGTATCTCTTCTGCAGTTCGGACTTCACCTTAGCCAGAGCAGCCCTGTCTGGTGTAGCAAAGACCAAGTCGTCGACGTAGACGAGTATAAAGAAAGGAGTGGAGCCGGCACGAACAAACAGTGACGGGTCAGTAGAGGAAGGGCGAAACCCTAGGCCACGAAGCGTGGAGCAAAGAGTCTTGTACCACTCACGGGGCGACTGGCGGAGACCGTAGATTGGTCGCCTTAGGCTCCACTGGGTCCCAAGAGGGAAAGTACCAGTGAAACCAGGAGGACGGCGCATCCAGATCTCCTCGTGCAGTCGTCCCTGGAGAAAGGCAGTGGAGAAGTCGAGGGAGTGGAGCTCGTAGTCATGCTGTGCTGCTACGTGTAATAACACCCAAAGTGTAGTCATCTTCGGGGTCGGAGCGAATGTCTAAAAGAAGTCATCTCCCTCACGCTGACAGAAGCTTCTCGCCACATAGCGCGCCTTGAACACCGGGGGTGATCAAGGTGGTCGCTTCACCTTGAAGAGCCACATGCCATCGACTACGTTCGCCCAGGGAGGGGGAACTGCGTCGACGTATGTGCATGTGGATCTCCAAGACACCAACTCTGAGTCCATGGCCGCCTTCCACTGAGAGGCCCACGACCGTGACACTGCCTCACGGTACGTGCAAGGAGTCGGTATGTCAAGGGCGTCGGGATCTCCCTCAGGGGAAAGCAGCATGGCACAGAGAGTGGGAGAAGCGGCTGCCAGGTACTCCAGCTCAGAGTGCCTGTCCTCTAGGACATCACAGCCAATGACAAACTCACCCCCGACGGACAGAGGATGGGTAGGCAGAGCGAGCACCATACAAGTGCGGTAGTCAAGGCGGATGGCGGCGGCAAAGTCAGCGACAGCGGCAGTGAGAGCCGAGACAGACGACGGAGAGAAACGAGGGTCGGTGACAACAGTGGCTAGAACGCGGGAGACAACAGGGCGAACATCACGGTAGTAGTCGGGGATAGGAGTAGGGGGGACTGGAAGAGAAGACGGAGGAGGAGACGGTAGAACAGACACCAAAGGAGGAGAACGACGAAGAGAAGTACAAAGGAGGGCAGTGTGGAGGTCGATAATGGGGGACGAGGGACGAGCACCCGGAGGACAAAGACGGGAACGGTAGTGACGGACAACAGGAGGAGGAGACTGCGGTGGAGGGGAAGACCAGACCGCCGGACGGTCGTCAAGAGGAGGAAACGTGGGACCAAACGCAGTGGGAGACTGAGAGCAAAGAGGAGGAGAGGAGGGAAGACCAAGGGCCCGAAGGCCACTCACGGGCGGGAACAACTACCGCTTCAGAGGGAGCTGCTGCTGCTGCTCCAACAGGTCCAACTACCGCAAATCCTGCCGCTCCCGCTCCAACTGCTCTTGCTCCTCGCGCGCACGTTGGCACGCCGCCTGGTAACGCGTGTCGTGGCAGTGGGGAGGCGGAGTGCTCTCTGCAAACGTAGTGCCCCCAACTCCAGTCTCTTCAGAAATAGCACCCCAAGTACCAGTGTCCCCAGAAGGGGTACCAAGAGGGTCAGGGTCCCCAGCTCCAGTGCCCCCTGTCCTAGCACCCCCAGTGCCAGGACCTCCAACTCCAGCACCCCCAGAACTAGCACCTCCCTTGCCAGCACCTCTAGCTCCAGCACCCCCAGCACTAGCACCTCCAGTGCCAGCACCTCCAGCTCCAGCACCCCCAGAACTAGCACCTCCAGTGCCAGGACCTCCAGCTCCAGCACCCCTAGGGCTAGCGCCACCTGCGCCAGCACCTCCAACTCCAGCACCCCTCGAACAAGCACCCCCAGACCGAGTACCGCCAGTGGCTGCACCTCCAGCTCCAACACCAACCGAGTCCACAGTAACATGTCGTGGAAATACCGAAGGCTGCTGAGAGGACTATGAGGAGGACTGCGGGGAGGGAGACGCTACCTAACGCGCGACCGAGGGTAGAGGGATAGCGTGAGACACACCTGATGGGGCAGGACCAGGGGGGGGTGGGGGTACCGGAGGAGCGGGAGCAGGGGGAAGAGAGGTTGCGAGGAAAAGGGGGGGAGGGGGAACCGGGAGACCTCGACAGGGGTAGCGGGTGTAGTAGGACACTGACTCGTCGAACCGGACGTCACGGGAGTCTAGGAATTGATGGAGGGGCGGGTGGTAAAAGGACCAGTCGGCCGAGGCTACCGGGAAACCAAGGAAGACACAGAGGACGGCGCGAGCCCAGAGTTTGTCCGCAGAGGTGTCGCGGACAAGCGCAAGGCAGCCCCAGACACGAAAACCTGACCCAACACCAGGGGACCCGGTCCAAAGACTGGTCGGTGAAGCCTCTGGCCGCGAGACGCGCGGCTGGAGGTTCAGCTGGTGAGCGGCGTAGCGAACCGCGTAGGGCCATAGAAAATGGGGCGCATGGGCATGAATCATGGACGTGCGGGCGATGTCCATGACCAAGCCAATGCGGCGCTCAGCAACCCCATTCTCCTGTGGGGACTCAGGAAGAGTCCAGGATTGTACGATGCCCTGCTCGCCGCAGAATCCGACAAGAATGCCTGAGCGAAATTGAGGAAGGGTTACAGGCACGGTTGCCTGGGGGGTTATGGGCGCACTGACCCGCTACTTAAACAAGCCCTTTTATTCCAGTGGTCTAGTGGCTGGGATTCTGAGATGGTATCCAGAGCGAAGGTCTCGGGTTCAAATCCCGGTGTGTGCACTTCGGGCATCCCAGTGAGGCGGGGTGTCAGAGGTCAACTGGTGATCCCCGATTGATCCTAGGGGAAGGGTTACAGGCACGGTTGCCTGGGGGGTTATGGGCGCACCGACCCGCTACTTAAACAAGCCCTTTTATCCCAGTGCTCTAGTGGCTGGGATTCTGAGAGGGACGGCTGCAGTGAAACAACGAGAACAACTAGGAGCGCCAGGTGAAACTAGGCGAGGAACGACTGTAGCACGGAGCAATCTGAGCTAGGAGCGACGAGCGAAAACGACTGGAGCTAGAACGGTTGGAGCTGAAACGGTTGGAGCCAGAATGGCTGGAGCGAGAACGGCTGGAGCTAGACACGGCTGGAGCTAGGAGTGGCTGGAGCTAGAACGGCTAGAGCTAGAGACTGTAATTTTGGCTATCGGCTGCCGCTAGTAGAGCCACTGGCAGTGGAAAGTACGTGCGACTGTAGGGGCTGCAGTACTGACTGTTGCGATATGTAGGGAGCTGTGCAGGTCGTCCGACAAGCAGGAACGCGGGCGATAGTTGCATCCCAACACCCTGAACCCCCCCCGCCCCCCCCCCCCCCCCCCTTTTTTTTAAGGGTTTAATTAATTTAATTATTTTCTGACGCTAAAGCGCTACGGGGCGCGCTGCCTGCAGGGTGTGCTGCCTGCGGGGCGCGCTACCCGCGGGGCGCACTGCCTGCGGAGCGCGCTACCCCCGGGGCGCACTACCCGCGCGGTGCGCTGCCTGCGGGGCGCGCTACCCGCGGGGCGCACTACTTGCGGGGCACGATACCTGCGGGGGCGCGCAGCCTAGGGGCAGGGCGATGCGCGGGCTAGGGGCAGGGCGCACGGGCGCGCACGGGCTAGGGGCAGGGCGCACGGGCTACGCGACAGGCTAGGGCAGGGCGCACGGGCTACGCGACGGGTTAGGGCAGGGCGTACGGGCGACGCGACGGGCTGGGGCCGGGGCCACGGGCCACGCGACGGGCTGGGGCACGGCGCACGGGCTACGCGACGGGCTAGGGTAGGACGCACGGGCTGGGGCGGAGGCGCGATACGGAGGGCGCGTAGGGGAGGGTTAGGCGCGGAGGCGCGGAGGGCGCGTTACGGAGGGCTCGGAGGGCACGTTAGGGAGGGCGCGGAGGGCGCTAGGGCGCGTGACGGAGGGCGCGTAAGGCGCGGAGGGCGCTAGGGCGCGGAGGCGCGCTAGGGCGCGTGACGGAGGGCGCGTAAGGCGCGGAGGTGCGGTAGGGCGCGGAGGGCTCGAGGGCGCGAGCTAGGCTAGGCTAGGCAAGGATTTTAAACCTACTCGTGATACCATCTCAGAAATAGAATGCAACGGAATGATGAGATTAGGAATGTCGGTGATACAAATAGCAAACCCTAACTGAGTTGTACTCACTAAGGAGCACCTCACTACAGCCTATCACAAATATCAACACTTGACACCCTCATACACCAAAGCGAGGGCCTCTAATTAAATCCCACTGAAGGCAACTGGGCTGGAGGAAGAGGAAAAGGAGAGACTTGTTCAAACGGAGGCTGACTGCATCAAGAGAGGAGCCTCGTTGACTCTCTTGAACCTGTTGACTTGTCAGGCTTCAGATACTCTCCAATTTCCGGTATGAAATGAAGTCTGCATACCTTTTCTATCCACCCCCTCGCACCTCGTTGCTCTTACTGTGGATTTTCCCTTCCGTCACAGAACCCTCTTATTTCACCTCCCTTTTTCTTCCACAGTTCCTCTCTCCCTCTTTTCTTGACGTGGAAGCCTATTATCAGCATCAGCTGCAGCAGGCCACCAATCTAATCCGTCTGAGCAATCGGAGGGAGCAAGACTGGGTTTCTTCCCACTGTGTTTTCCCTCATCAAGCCCTCGTTTCCTTCCCTCTCTCCAGCACTTCTCTTTCTCCAACATTTCGCCCCTCTCCAACATTTCGCCCCTCTCTCCAACATTTCGCCCCTCTCTCCAACATTCTCCTCCTCCGTCTCTCTCTTTCCCTTCCCCTCTCTCGTACGCATCTCCTCGTTCCATGGCCTCTATCGCCAACAGCAGCAGAGGTGCACCGATCTAGTCCCACAGGGAGCAATAAAACGCAGGGAATCGAACCCGCTATCAACAGCAGCAGCTGCAGAACACCAATCTAGTCCCACTAGGGAGCGCTACAAGGGAGGGAGCCAAAAATTATGGTTATGCCCCCTGGCATTTGCCCCCTCCCTCTGCCTTCCACCTTTCCTCTCCCATCTCTCTCATACCTCTTCTCCTCTTTTCATGCCTTATATCGCCAACAGCAGCAGCAGAGGCGCACCTATCCATTCCCACTGGGAGCACTACACGGGAGAGAAAAACAAGAGGCGACGAATTCGTCTTAGGGTTGCGAAGCGTTTTGCGTAATTATATAAATTTGTACAACTTCTAATTCTGTACATAATGCTGTAATATGACACTAAGTGGTACTTCCTCTCACCAGGAAAAGGTTAAATGTACAGCGCGAACGAGATTCGAACCAAGGACCTTTCGATTCCACTCCAAGCCTTGTACCACTGCTACAGCACAGATGTTTACCTAGAACAGCTAAATAACTCAGAAATAAAAACATGCGACGAATCTGAGACTACCTTAGGGTTTGCCGGCCCTTTTTTTCTCCCGCTTTTCCTCGCTCGTCACGCTCTACCAACTTCTCCACCTACTCTAACTGCAACTTAGGTAAGAAGATCCCTCAACTTTAACTCCAACTAAATTAGATGCCTATTAGATAGACTAACATTTAGTCATTCCGTATCCTAGCCGTGTAAATGGATGAGTATTAGCGAGACTTAGTTGTTTAAACTTAGGTTCTCGGCCCTTTGTAAAGATTTCAGGTTCTCCTTCCTGCATAAGCTTGCATCTGTTTCTTCTATTCTTCATCCTTAAACTTTTCCTCTCGTCGGTTGCCTTTTCTTCATATTTGCATGTTTTAGTTCATTTTTTTCTCAACCTCGTCTTAGGTTGTACATAAAGATTGTAATAGGTTGCATGTTCAGTCCATTTCGTTCTCTCTCGCTCGTTCTCTCTCTCCCGTTCTCTCTCTCCCGTTCTCTCTCTCCCGTTCTCTCTCTCCCGTTCTCTCTCGCTCGTTCTCTCTCTCCCATTCTCTCTCCCGTTCTCTCTCGCTCGTTCTCTCTCTCCCGTTCTCTCTCTCCCGTTCTCTCTCTCCCGTTCTCTCTCTCCCGTTCTCTCTCTCCCGTTTTCTCTCTCTCGTTCTCTCTCTCGTTCTCTTTCTCGTTCTCTCTCGTTTTCTTTCTCTCTCGTTCTCTCTCTCTCTCTCTCTCTCTCTCTCTCTCTCTCTCTCTCTCTCTCTCTCTCGTTCTCTCTCTCTCTCTTTCTTTCTCTCTCTCTCTCTCTCTCTCTCTCTCTCTCTCTCTCTCTCTCTCTCTCTCTCTCTCTCTCTCTCTCTCTCTCTTTTGTTCTCCCTCTCTCTTGTTCCCTCTCTCTCGTTCTCTCTCTCGTTCTCTCTCTCGTTCTCTCTCTCTCTCTCTCTCTCTCTCTCTCTCTCTCTCTCTCTCTCTCTCTCTCTCTCTCTCTCTCTCTCTCTCTCTCGTTCCGTCTCTGTCGTTCTCTCGTTCTCTTTTGTCAAATCTCTCGTTCGTTCTCTCTCGTTCGTCCACTCTCTCGTTCTCGCTCTCTCGTCCTCTCTCTCTCTCTCTCTCTCTCTCTCTCTCTCTCTCTCTCTCTCTCTCTCTCTCTCTCTCTCTCTCTCTCTCTCTCTCTCTCTCTCTCTCTCTCTCTCTCTCTCTCTCGCTCTCGCTCTCGCTCTCGGTCTCCGTTGTTCTCGCTCAACGTATTTGTTATATTCTCTTCGTTCGTTTACTGTCTGGTCATGTGTTTTTCCCTTTGTTCTCGTTCTTTACTTTCGTTTTATGCCTTAGTACATTTTCTCCTTGTTATTTGTCAGCTCTAACCCTTCAATGCTCATGGCGTTTTTCTTGGCCCTTGTATTGTTTCATTTGTTTCTTCATTATTCCTTTTTCTTGTAATTTCATTATGCCTTGTTATTTCCCATTTGCCTTCCCTTCCTCAACCCAGCTTTGTCTTACTTTTCAGGCAGTCGAGCTCAATATGAGAAGTAGACTGATATTGCTTGTGACTTACAGTATAGGATACATAATGTCTTGGTGATTTAGGTTTCTATTTCATATGCGGTTAATATGCTTTGTCAGTTGGCTTCGTGCGTGCGTGTCCGTGTGAATGTGTATGATCATGTGTATGCGTTGTGTTGTGTGCGTATGCGTTTTCATTCATGTTTCCATTGCATTGATAACACATGTCTGTGGGGTTTAAAAATTGGGATCAAACTATCATTTCCGAGAAGGTTCTTTGCGCACTCAGTGAGTGTGTCCATTCGAACTGGATTTGATGGAATTGACCTGTTTTTTATATCACACAGATTGTGTTGTTTCATGTAACAGTTGGATGATTCAGAAATTATGCTATTGAGCTCCCCCCCATGCTAGGCAGGGGATGCGGTAGCATAGGGTCTGCGTCAATTAACTGTTACGCACTTCCATCATGCTGTGCATTTATTTCATTACGGTACCGGTAGTACCGTATATGCATTATACTTATGCATTTGCATTTACTTCATCTACTTATAACAACAGCAGACATATGCATCACGGAATAAACAGTTATGCATTCACAGTACATCATTTTGGCAACTCATGAAATATAGGTTCAGTCAAAGTAAACTAGGAAATGAGAAAGAATGTGGTTCAGCACGTGGTAAATTGACGCGGCAGATACATAGCAGTCAGTCATTTAGCTAGTACTGTCACTAGATTTTTTCCCTCTATTTTTTAAAGGTATTGAAGATTGAAAAAAAAAATTGTACATAACGATTGTAATAGGTTGCTTCGCAACCCAAAAAACCCTGTTCTCTTGCATTTCCCTCCTCCCTCGACCCTTCCTCTCTCCTCCGCTTTGAGCCTCTCCTCCTCTCTCCATAGGTTCTATCACCAGCAGCTGCAGCGAGTTGGCAGTTGCCTCTGCCCAGCCGTACTAATAAGGTGTGTCGCTTACGCCACCCCCCTTCCCTCCGCCTCTCTCCTCTCCTCTCCCTCTCACGCTGCTCCTCCCCTTCCCCTCACTCCTCTCCTCCTCTCTCCATAGGTTCGATCGCCACAGCTGCAGCGAGTAAGCAAGTGGGGGCGAGTCCCTCTCTGTTGTTCCCCTCCTCTCTCCACTGTTCCTCCCTTCTCCCCCTCACGCCTCTCTCTCCATGGGTTCTATTGCAAGCAGCTGCAGCGAGTTGGCAGTTGCCTCTGCCCAGCCATAGTGAGGCATGCCCCTTTCCGCCGTTCCCTTTCCCCCCCCCCTCACTCCGCTCCCCCTCACGCCTCCCCTCGTCTCTCCATGGGTTCTATCGCCAGCAGCTGCAGCGAGTTGGCAGTTGCCTCTGCCCAGCCGTACTAGTGAGGGGTGCCCCGTTCCACCGTCACCCTTCCCTCCTCCAGACTCCATTCCCCCTCACGCCTCTCCTCCTCTCTCCATGGGTTCTATCGCTAGCAGCTGCAGCGAGTTGGCAGTTGCCTCTGCCCAGCCGTAGTGAGGCATGCCCCTGAGGTTATACACAAAGGTACAAGGCAGAGGTGACAAGAAGATGTGACACACTGACATTCACGTACCTCTTAGTTGAGACGTATGGCAGCAAGGAGCACAACCAGTGGTGCGAGCAAAGGAACACACTCATAATGCAAGTGGTGCACACCAACCAGTGGCGCACACCGACCAGTGGCGCACACCAACCAGTGGCGCACACCAACCAGTGGCGCACACCAACCAGTGGCGCACACCAACCAGTGGCGCACACCAACCAGTGGCGCACACCAACCAGTGGCGCACACCAACCAGTGGTGCACACCAACCAGTGGCGCACACCAACCAGTGGTGCACACCAAACAGTGGTGCACACCAACCAGTGGCGCACACCAACCAGTGGCGCACACCAACCAGTGGCGCACACCAACCAGTGGCGCACACCAACCAGTGGTGCACACCAACCAGTGGCGCACACCAACCAGTGGTGCACACCAACCAGTGGCGCACACCAACCAGTGGTGCACACCAACCAGTGGCGCACACCAACCAGTGGTGCACACCAACCAGTGGTGCGACCAGTGTTCCACCAGTACGCCTTGTGAGACGAGCCCCCCCCCACACAAGTCTCTCTATCCTGTCCCATCCTCTCATACGATTCCACTTACTCATACTACGTACCTATGCCACGCCTTCTGAAATGCGAACTCCCCACACAAGTCTCTGTCAACCCTGTCCTATCGACTCAAAAGGATTTCACTCACTCATAATATGTAGCTTCTTCCACTCACCACGTCCCACACCTGCCTGCTCGTGCTCTCGCACCAAGAGCCACTCACTCATAGCACATAACTCCCTCCTGACACACATGTCTCTACCCTGTCCCTTTCACCTCTCACCCGTAATATGTAGGCTCTTCCACCACCACGTCCCACACCTCGCCGCTCGTGCTCTTGCAACATGAGTCACACGATGAAGTTTGAAATGAAGCACATGCCCTGAATGAGAGCGGTGGTTGAAAGGAGGAGTGCCCTGTCCCTTTCACCACTCACTCGTAATATGTAGGCTCTTCAACCACCACGTCCCACACCTCCCCGCTCGTGCTCCTCCCATACTTGTGCACCTTGCTGGTATGGGGAAGAGAGAAAGGTTGCAAGGAGAGGGGAGGAGAGGTGAGGTAGAGTCGCACCCTCGTCAGTTTGGTGTGCTCCTTGTTGCCATACCATCAAATTGCGAGGGGGAGAGGGACTAAGATGAAGGGAGATGAGAGAGATGCGAGGAAAGAGAGAGGCGAAGGGCCCGACACAACTCCTTTAAGTCACAAATAGGGCTCTTGAAGACCAAGAAGTTTATTATCGTGAGATTCGTTCAAAAGGCTTGTAATACTCGCCTTTTGTAAGTGAAAGATACTCGCCGGTCAGCATAAAAAAGTCAGGGGAAAATACCCGCCGTAAGTGAAAGATGCCCTGTGCAAATTATTTTTGTGGTTTTAGCAAAGTGGTACCACCCTTAAGCGAAACACTTACCCGTCACCGTAGTGCTCCTCTCCCCACGTTCTCGACCAGCCTGGTAGGACGGAGATAAACAAGGAAGCGTAGAAGGGGCAGGTAGGGCACGCATGAGGATAGTTTATACTTGGTGCTTCTCTTACACATCCCTACCCTGTAGTGCTCCTCTCCCCACGTTCTCGACCACCCTGGTGGGAGGGAGGCGCACGAGGGGAGGTGGAGTGTGAGTGTGGATCGAGATGGGGATGGGGATGGGGATGGGGATAGGTGGGCGAAAAACGTTCCTCCCAGTATCGCCCCACTTTCTTCTCACAAGCAGCACGCACAGGAAGTGAGGCAGCAAGATACTTATTACCAGCCGCAGAGAGAGGAGTCAACTCACGGGAGGAAGAGGGCAACAGGTGCCACGTTTCCACTTGTCTCCTGCCCACCCCATTGGTGAATCGCTCCTCCCACTTGTCGCCCCACTTGCTGCCATCATCGTCCTGCTCCGCCCACTTATGGGGGAGAGGGGGGCTTATGAGAAAGTGAGAGTTGACTCACGGGAGGAAGAGGGCGACAGGTGCCACGTTTCCCCTTGTCTCCTGCCCACCCCATTGGTGAATCGCTCCTCCCATTTGTCGCCCCACTTGCTGCCGTCGTCGTCCTGCTCCGCCCACTTGTCCGTCCTGCCATTATGCCATGCCATGCCAAGCCATATTTATATAGAGATATTAACCACATGTATATCAGCAAAGAATAATAATAATGAGACTAATACAAAAAAAAAAATCACAGAAGGCACCCATACCATACAAGCATCTCACCACTTGAGTACTGCTCCCCGCCCGTCGTACTGCTCGCCCCACCTCTCCCACCACGACTGCCCCTCATGCTGCTGCCCTCCCATCCCAACATGCGTGCATGCATACCCCATATACAATACGAGCCACCACACTTGAGGACTGCTCCCCTACCGTCATACTGCTCGCCCCAATTCTCCCACCACTGCTGCCCCTCGTGCCTCTACGCACTAATCCCCCAATATACAGACCCCATTTACCGTATGAGCCACCTACCATTTAAGCACTGCTCCTCGCCCGTCGTATTGCTCGCCCCACTTCTCCCACCACGACTGCCCCTCGTGCCGCCCAAACTTATACGCGCCTTTTTCCGTCCACCCACGCTCGTTGTACTTCTCCCACCTGCGATAGGGGGGAGAGAATGGAAAGGGAAAGATCGAAGGGGCCATAGATGAGGGGGAGCAGAGGAATGCTTTAGGTGCAACCCCCCTTCTCCGTCCACCCCCACTCGTTGTACTTCTCCCACCTGCGGAGGAGACGGGGACAGTAGATGCGGGGGAGGAAGGGGGAGGGATGGGGGAGGTAAAGAAGGGAAAACATCTAAACTGGCCAAAGCCTCCAGCTAGTGGGCAAGATGCATGTCTAAACACTTCGGACGTCTAGTTTTGAGACGTCTCAAAACAAGATGCGTGTCAAAACACTTCGGACGTCTGTTTGGAAGTTTTGAGACGTTTCAGTAATTTGTTGAGATGTCTGAAAAATACCCCTTACCATAAGCCACAACTCACCATATCTCGGCCCATGCATCTGTTTGGGAATTGGCTCTGCTTGTGCCCACTCGCACCACACTCGCACCACACTCGCACCACACTCTCACCACATTCTCACCACATTCTCACCACACTTGCACCACACTTCACTGCACTCCATCGAACTCTCACCGCACTGTCATCGCACTCCACCGCACTCCACCATACTTTAACGGCACTCCGCCACTCTCAACGCACTCCACCACATTCCCACTGCAATCCTATCGCAATCTCACACACTGTCACATCACTTTGCATTCTCACCACACTCTCTCAACTGCTCTGAGACGTCCCACTAAAAGAATACATTCTGGGACGACTCAAAGAGAGTTTGTACTTATGTGGTACTTGGCCTGCTTGTACGCACTCCCCATCACCTCCCCAATCACACCCCTACATAAGCACCCTTACATACGCACCATTTCTCCATCCAGGCATCAGTTCGCGATTTAGCCTGCTCATGTGCACTCCCCATCATCTCATCTTCCCAGTCACACCCCTATATAAGCACCCATTCGCAAGCACCCACACACACGCACCACTTCTCGGTCCAGGCATCAGTTCGCGACTTGGCCTGCTTATGTGCACTGCGCTCGATGCGAGCGATGCCACTGAAAAGGGTGAGGTGGGGGGGAGGGTGTGGGGAAGGGGAGGCAGAGAGGGGAGTGAGGCGAGTGTAAGAGAAGCACCCACCCACTCACCACTTGGGCTGCTTATGTGCACTGCGCTCGATGCAAGCGATGCCACTGAAAAAGGGGGGGTGGGGGGATAGAAAGGCGAGAAGGTGGAAAAGGGTCTGAGGCGCACATTTTGAGTCGACTCAAAAGGGTCTGAGGCGCACACAACACAACACTTGGCCTGCTTGTGCGCGCTGCGCTCTATGCGAGAGTTGAATCTGTGTTTTTGGGAATTTTCAGAAGACAGATTCAGTCTGAGGCGAATACACAACACTTGGCCTGCTTGTGCGTACTTCGCTCTGTGAGAGAAATGCCGCTGCAGGAGGAAGGGGGAGGAGGGGAGAGGGGCCGGGGAGAGCCGAAAACATATGAGGGAGGCGCACACACAGGACATGTTCTGCTTGTGTGCACTGCACTCAATGCGAGCGATGCTGCTCACCCCCCTCCTCCTTACCTCCTCTCGTCCCTTCTCAGCACCTCCTGCCACGTCTCCCATTAGCTATAGTCCATAGCACTCCCTCATTCCCTCATTCCCTTCCCCTTTCAATCCCTCAATCCCTCACCCTTCCCCCCACTTCTACCCCCCTCACATCCACGTCGCACCTCCCCAACACCTCCCACCACTTCTTCCCACCAGCTCTAGTCACGGACACAAAACCCTCATTCATTTCCTCGTTCATTCCCTCATTCATTCCCTCATTCATTTCCTCATTCATTCCCTCATTCACTCACTACTCCCTCGATTAGTCCTTCACTCACCAATCCCCCCCCCTCTCTCCCTCCTCACCTCCACTCGTCCCTCCTCAGCAACTCCTGCCACTTCTCCCACCAGCTCTAGTCCCTCGTTCCCTGGCAGTCCGTCACCCCCCCTCCCCGTCCTCTCCTTCTCACCTCCAATCGTCCCTCCTCAACACCTCCTGCCACGTCTCCCACCATCTCTAGGGCCTGGCATTCCCCCACACTCTCACTCACTCCCACCCTCACACCCTCACTCACCTCCATTCATCCCTCCTCAGCACCTCCTGCCACGTCTCCCACCAGCTCGCGCCCACAGCGTTCCGCCCACTCTTCTCCGCGCCTGAAGGGGGAATTGGGGAAGGGAGGGGAAAGGGAAGGGGAAAGGAAGGGGAAGGGAAGGGGGAGGGAACGACGAGGGAAAGGGGATACGATTTCGAGAATCTCTCCTAAGGGGTAAGGGAGGGAGAGGATCTGGTATGGTATCCTTTCCGCTCATGTACACACTGATGTAATCCCTCCTTGTGTCGTTGCAAATAAAGAAGTCAATACCTCTTACTACGCCTCTTCCCTCACGTCTCTTCTTTCATGCCCCTTCCCTTATGCCTCATCTCGACTCTCGCGGCGGCCTTCTCTCACTCATGCCTCGCCTCGCATATGCTGTGATGTGATGGACATGCTGTGATGTGATGGACATGCTGTGATGTGATGGACATGCTGTGATGTGATGGACATGCTGTGATGTGATGGACATGCTGTGATGTGATGGACATGCTGTGATGTGATGGACATGCGTACCTAGCTCTTTGTATCCTGTCCAATCGCTCTTCTCCCACCACTGCCATGTTATGCCCATGGCAAGGCAACACCACACAAGAGCGCAACAAGGGAAGAAGGGAATGGAGAGATGAAGGGAAGGCAGGACCAAGCAAAGGCCCATGATTCAAAAGGCACATGAAGGCCCCCTTTTGAGACGTCTCATCATTCACACTCCCTTTTCTGAGGCGCCTGAACAAACACCTTGCCTTGAATCACAGCCCGTCATGCAACAACCGCTCGCGTGCATTATTGACTACGAGTGAAACAAAACAACAACAGAAAACGACAGAGAACTAGCAACCATAAAGCACACAGCAAAGGAAGAGCTTCACGAAGCTATCCTGCTTACTTCCTTTCATAAAGATTTAGCTGCACTTGTAATCATTTCCTTACATAGCTCATTTTCTCCGCCTGTTCACTTCCTTTAGCTTACTCACCGTTTCCTTCCATTGCACAGATCCGTCCGAACTCCTCCCCCCCATAATGCTCCACCGGCAGCCGGTACCCGTTGTCGCCCGCGTCCTCCCTTTATCTCCCACCCACACCCCCCTCAATTTCATCCCCTCATCTTCGTCCACTCACCGTTTCCTTCCATTGCACGGATCCGTCAGAGCTCCTTGCTCCCATGATGCTCCACCGGCACCGGTACCCGTTCTCAGCCCACGTCCTCCCTTTGTCTCCCTCCAATCTTCCCGTTTCCCCTGCCCCCCCCCTCATCGCCCCCCCACTCACCGTTTCCTTCCATTGCACGGATCCGTCCGAACTCCTCCCGCCCATGATGCTCCACCGGCACCGGTAACCCGTTCTCCCCCACGTCCTCCCCGCTCTCCCGATACCACGAGCTTGCCGTCCTCGTTAAGGCCCGACTCGTTAAGAGGCGCGTTCTGTAGGCTGATGTTCCACTCCTCCTCGCTCGCTATGCCCGTGTCTTGAAAGGGGGGAAGTTGGGGAGGGATGGAGGGGCGAGCGGAACGAGGGGCGAGGAGGTAGGAGCATTCTTTGAGTTGACTCAGAAGTCACCTCGTTCCACTCCTCCTCTCGCGCTATGCCCGTGAGTGGAAGGAGGGAAAGGCAGGGAGGGGAAAGAGGGTAGAGGGGGAGAAGGGAATGGCATGGGGATGAAGGGGGAGCATGAGCACGAGAGGAAAGACTTGTAGATGGGGAGGGGAGGAGGGATGTGGGGTATGAGGACCAAGCACCGACATTCATCACACCAGATGAACAAATAGCATAGCACATAACTCAAGAACTGAGTTGACATCTCAGCCGTCCGTTTGTTTGATCAACGTGAGGGGGAAGATTACCATGTTCGCCTGACACTCCTGGGACACGGTTCATATGTTGGTCCATTCATACCCTTTATTCTTGCTCTCATACCGACGTGGCAACGCCATGTAAGGCCGACGTCAGCTAGTAACTTTGCCGCATTGATCACAATGTAACACCACCTCTGCGCGGCGGGCTATCTCTTGAGTTGGGAATGCACTGCCGAGAAACGCGGTTCCGATAGTGAACGTGGCCTTGCGCGCCGGCCGCTGGGACCTGAGAGACGTCCACGTGGCAGGCACGTCAGAGCATAAGGAATCATACAGAATGCTTCGTGCATTGATATTGCAAGGAATTTGGAAGGAAGCACATGCACTGCTGAAATAAATCAGGGATCAAACGATTAACAATTCAAAGTCATCTCTCTCTCTCTCTC